CGGCAACGACCCTGGAGCAACACCACTATCAGAACCTAGCGTGCAACTGAGTTCTCTAGGGCGGAACTTTCTCTGGTCTACTAGAACAAGTTAACAACTGAAACATTTCTTTACGAAACTAGTGAGATCACAAAACACACCTATATCATCTTTATCCTGTCCCTCCTTCGTTAGCAGATATCGTGATGTCTCGTAGGCACCAAAGAAACAGAAATAACCAGGCACCTCAAATCAATGAACATAGAGGGAGAACTTTCGTTCTACTCCTTATACCTCCTTTTTTCTGCTTACAATAAAAAATCTCATGTAAACTACTGAATTTCATGAGGCTTATAGTTCTGATCACGCGGTTTCGTAAATTCACAAGTGCCAGTGCCTTTCAACGCATTCCTGTTCTAAGGAAAATTCGAAACATACCTCCCGTGCTAAAGTTGGAGTCATACCGATGAAGAATCCTTTGATACCTTTTTCTCGCCACATATCTCTACATACTGACGTAGGTGTACTAGAATTAATATTGATGACTTCGAATACTCAACTGTTCACCTATGATCGTAGCTACTCACCAATGGATGCCAACTTCACGAGCTGCTTGTAGACGACATTTGACCAACTCTGTGGGACATAGGACGGCAGCCGCAAAGATTGCCGCTAATGAGCCAGCCGACGCATTTTCGATGGGTGTCATGGTTTTTACGTCTGAGTGACCAGAGATTAGACTGACTATCTGTAAAGAAATTATTATGTAGTGCAGTGCACGTAAATAGCGTACACTTATGGATGCTTACCTTTTGACAATACCCGTATGCAGTGAAGAGAACCGCGTTTTCAGCTACATTTGCTGCTAATGCTGGTATCGTACCTCAAAATCACAATTATTGGTACATAAGCAGGGGCCCGTAGTACGAGCTACGGTTAGGCAGCGTTCATACTTCGCGACAGCAGCGGCGATCGCGGCGATCGCGGCGACCTCGGCGATCGCCGCGATCGTCGGTACATGGCAGAGCGCGCCCCAACGATATTACGTGCGCTCCGAAGGCTTTTGGGGGTAAGCGACTCAATTTCATGCTTTTTTCCCTTTAACTACAATTTCCTTAGGTACTGAAGCTTGGTTTGACTCAAGAAAGGTGAACCCAGCTTAATTGCTTTTGTTTTCTATTTTCTTTCTTGATTCAGGATAGAAATGAGCAAAAAGCGTGAGAGCTTCATTTAGGTAGGTTTTTATTGTTTCTTTTTTCATTCTTCGAGCTTATACATGATTAGAAGTTTTCACCTGTATGATTGGTTGTATGTTCGACGATAGCAACTTTCGAAGCGCTTGTATAAATTGAAACAATAAAAACAACAAAAAACAAAAAGAAGCTCACCCAGGGAAAAGAGTTGGCTTATTCGACCTAAAAAGGATGTGAGACCTTTCTTTACCTCATCGTCTTCTGATCCTGCTTATGCAATAGGAAAGTCACTAATTATCAGATATTATTATTAAGAGTACACGAAGGTCACAAGTTGGATTCCCTTATTATCAGTGCTGCGAGCGGCCATCAATAGCGTGGTGCGCGCTCTTGCCCACGTACCGACGATGCGCGCGAGGTCCACGATCGCCGTGTTGTCGCGAGTATTGAACGCTGCCTTAGTTGGTTATAAGTTAGCGACACCGGAACCCGTGAGAATCCGAACTGGTTAGTATGAAGGAAACGGCAAAAGACACATATCGGCTATCCACTCTTGTTCTCGGATGCCCGTTTTTATCACTGAATCTCCTAACTTCCATGATCTTCTCTTCATCGTTTCTAGGGCGCCAGTTCGGCGCCACTGATGTTGGGTGTGGGGGAATTTGCACTTCGTTGCTTCACTAGTTCTGGTTTACAAGTCTCACTCTGGTGGAACCTGGGAACTCTTGTGAACTAGGAGCAAGCTCGTCAAGCCATCATGGTAAAACCTGTGAACACGAAAAGATGCTGTCCAGCTGGGTAGACACGTCATTGGGAAGTAATAAAAGTGCAAAATGCCCCCTCCCCACTTCATCGAACTGCTCCTGTTTCTCCAGTGCGAAGTATGCACTGCACAGGGACGAAAACTCCACATTCAATTGACATATTCGAATAAAAAGACTTTGAACTGAGCATATAATCATAAGCACTCACCAAGCGAAATAACCACGTTATAATACCATCAACTGTAAGTATCCCTCAAACATTGATCCATTAAGATTCTATCCCAGTTCCTTGGGAATGTTTTACGTTTTTTCACTGTTTTGACTGTATCCAGTTCGTTTGACCAGAATAGACGTTCCCATCATCATGGAAGTTCCATTTAAAAAGACAGTGTGGAATTAATCTGTCATGAAATCACCCTAGTGTATAATTCCCTGCCTGCGATCGCTATGTAATGCAATTCTGTAAGTTCGCTCTGCCCACCCTTGTGGCTTGCCGATCAAGGCGAAAAAGAGCAACACGACTTCGAGAAATAAACAGGAACTAATTTATACTGTGAGTGCGTTTTGATTGCGGTAAACCCTTTTTACAGGCATTCACACCTGACGTAGCACGCCTGTGAAATCCATAAGCGATCGGAACGGGGACGCGAGGAATGAAACCATTCTTGACAATTATCACCTTGATTTGTCTTTGCTCCTCACAGTTTTAAGGCACGCGATATTCTCGCGGAAGTCGGCATGCTTTTGCACAGATTGGTCCTTGGAGCAATTTTTTTCTGGGTAAGGCCAAATCTCTATCCTTCTAGAGCTTACTGTCATGGTTTCGAAAACCTCCCACGCTCTGCACTCTTTTGCACCCATCTTGAACAATCATCAAGAAGTCCAACAGAATCTCGACAATCTATATCATGAAGATGGTGCCTCTACCTATTTGGAGTGGAGTGGAGCGCAAGGCAGCATAATCAACATGTCTCTCGAAAAGGTGAGCAAACTCCACTTTCGGTGTTTACGGATGGGACCACAAGGCGGGTGAGGTGAGTCTTCCTAGTACAAAGGGCGTTAGCAAATCAAAGGAGTCGAGTGTATAGCAGTAGATGTCAAGCTAATGCATTTCGCTCATTCATTAACCATAACTGCTCTTCCCCTACCGACTGTTCATTGCTCAAGGTTCTAGAAAAAACACTGCAGAATTTGTTATTCGTATATTCCTCCCCTCACTTCGTTTATAAGCAAATGACGATCAACCAAACTGAGCAGGCAAAGGGGTAAACGATGGAGCTCGCAGGGTGAATCAATCCCCTTCAGGAAGCACCACGTATTTCCATTCAAAATCGTACAGCTGCTTGAACGCGATTTAGCTTTTGCAACAAATCCCAGGGTCAACCATTGCACAGGCCAACGTTTCCTAGACGTATCTGGTAGCAATTTACCATCATTGAGGGTAGAAGGCGGAGTTGGCCTGGAACTGAGCTCAGGGACCGTGAGTGATAAGCGATAGTTGAACGACCAGCGCCCACTTATCATAATCTTCAATCAGCTAAAAACTATAAAAGATAAATGACACTCTTAGCAATGGGGCAGTCACTTTTTGAGTTGTCCCAAAGCTTTCACTTTCATTCACAGTCGTAGCAGCTTATCCGATGTGTCCTTACGAGAGATTTGCGGAGTCTGACGACGTCCTCGGAGGATAGAAGGCTTTGTTGGCCTGATCGGGAGCTGATCCAACCCCCGGACCGCGTGGTAAATGTGCCATTTGCCCCACACCAGCTTAGTATTTTTAGCTTAGTATGCAAAATTCCTCTCACAAAACTGTGAATGAAGAAGACACACTCCAATTCCAGAAATACGCACCTAATGTCCCAGCTATTAGATCAATAACACCATCCTTGACATGACTTGTTACATCTGAGGAGGATCCGCCGTGCATTGTCTGTAAAGAAAATTCGGGAAAAAACGGTACTGCGGTTTTTTTATATAATTTTTCCAGGCATTTAGAAAAAATCAAAAAGAGATTGTCAAGCAATTAGTGCACTACTACATTAAGTGA